GACTACGATGACACCAAGCGTCAACCCAGAACATAAAAACAGCCATTTCGAAACCCATTTTGGTGGGAGCTGCTCCTCGGTTTTCTTATTATTATGCTCTGCAGAAGACCGCTTTGACGAATTCGGCACAAACCCGGTCGGCTGTGGACTCGAATAGAATCGATTAGGAAAGAAATAACTAGGATACGAAGGTGTGAAAAAATCTGGAAATTGTCGTGTTTGTGGTGTCGCGCTGACGGCGAGCACCGAAATGGACCGCCCGCAACGACGTCCGGCTGCCAACCGGTTGATCAGAGAGGTCTCTGGACGAAACCGAATTCTCCTGGAAATCTGTAAAACATTTCCTAGTCTCGAAATTGCTCCATTTCGTGATGACATAGGGAGGATTTAGGATTGGTCGAAGAGGGGGGGAGAAGGAAAAATGGACGCGGCCCAGAGAACCTGCAACAAAGCAAAAAAGGAGTTGGGTCGAGCCGTATGCTCTCGACTCGAAGGATTGGCCTACGCGGTCTCAATCAGCAATGGAACTATGCGTTGAATGCTAGTCGTATCTCTTCAATACGAGCATTTGCAGTCAAGCCTCCAACGGGAATGACCGAAGGCGAGCGACATATATTCGACCTCTTGAATGACAAATTGGATCCAAAAACATTGGTCGTACAAGACGTGTCTGGTAAATTGACGTGAATGTTCTACTTCAAGGATACAATATTTACATATGTTTTTCATAGGTGGTTGTGGAGAATTCTATGCCTTGCAAATTTCAAGCAAGGCGTTCAACGGGTTGACCATGATTAAGCAGCATAGACTAGTTCAAGAGCTGCTCAAAGAAGAGATTAAAGGATTTCACGGCATCCAGGTGAGTTGAATTAGATATCGTTTATTCTACTATTCAACTTAACACGGCTCTAGTTGAAGACTAGCGCTGAGTGATGAGGTAAAGGAGTCGGTCAGGTATTAGCTGATGGAGGATAGACAAGAAGGGAATATTCGGATGCGGCAGGACGAGGTAGAA